ACACGTACCCCGGGCCCGGTCATTGGCAGCAATTTGCAGAACAATCGGCTTCAACGAGTACTTCTCCTTCCACTGGAATTATCGAAACCAGCACAAGCGGTGCAAGCTTCAACCAAAAAGATCGGCAAGGAAAAAAGAAAGTGAAATACAATATATAATCTCAATCTCGAACCGTGACTCCGCTGGACGAGGAGACCTCGACCAGGGAAGATTTAGAAAGCGAGCTCTATTTAAGCGAGGTCTTCGTCTTCTACGTCTAAAAGCTGACGCTAGCCGCTTAAAAACCTGCTGATATTGTGCCAACAATGTAAAAAACGCTTCTTTGTTTTGCTGAGGAAGAAATGCAAAATTCCACAAAAACCCGAAAAATGCAGAGATAATCATTCGACAACGATCCATTCTTGCCCAGTAATTCGAGCGAGAATTTTTCTTTATATTTTAATAGAGGGAGATGGGTTTGTGATTGACGCATGCGTCAATCAATGAAGTTTTGGTTAGAGGATACTAGTTCAATGCGACCACCGCCAAAAATAGGAAATTGCAAATTATTTTGCCAATATTTGACTAGCGAAAAATAAGTAAATAGTTGAATTCGCTCTAGAGCGACCCATCCCTTATTGAAAAAAATGCCCAAAAACGTTAGTAAGGGAACAGATTGGAATTTGTGTCTGATAGAGAGAGAGGGAAAAGAACGAAAATAACACAACTCTCTCATCTTACATTTGAAAAAAACGATTGTGAAACATTATTAAATATGGTAATCGTTGGCTCTATCTGATAATAGCCAAAACTACAAGTTTCTCGTTCCTGTTTTTGTTTTATTTTAATGTCAAAACGAAATTTTACCGAATTTCAGGGGAGCGCACACTCGAAACAACAGAAGCACGCGGACGTTTAGCTTACCTTTTCACAAAGCAGTTACCAGAGTGTAAACCGTCCTTACAGCTTTCATGGTTTTCTTTTAAGCAGATCGCTGATGTATGAGTGCAATTCTGATTAATAGGTTCAATTAACTCTGAAATGTGTATCCAACCAGTGAGCTGCTTGTATTTTCCGCAAGAAGGGACGAAATAAAAAGGAAAAAAATGTGCGGCTGCTTTGTGTTTAACAATAGAGGTATTCTGTTTTATATTTTACTTTTCGTATCTCAACAAAGACCAATATAGCTTACCCATAAACACATTTTCGTCATATCAGAAGCGTATCTTGACAGTGGAAAGTTTTTCAAAATATATTCGCTATTTATTTGATGTTCTCGTAGATTAAGCTTAAGCAATATCTACGGAAATTTAAACGCCTGATAAGCTAAGAGGCGTTTTGTGATGAATCTGGTGAATAGCGAAACATAAAAGATAGAATAAAGATATAGGAAGAAAAAGCTTGAAAATATGCAAGCGAATACAATGCAGTCAAGTTAGTCTCTTACCTTGGAGCGTGAAAGTCACTCCCCCAAAAGAGAACGGCTACAAAGAATAGGCAGCGTAGAGGTAGACAGCAGAATTTCATTCTCGAAGTTTTTTGGAGACTTTTAAAGACTAAACATGATAAAACAAATCTCTGTCACACAGAGAAATGGTTCCCATTACGTGGAATGTTAAAATACTTAGATGTCGCCCAACCGACAGGGTCCAAGTCTTTACATTACTGCTCTGGCATTGTTAATTAGCCCCCGAGTGAGTATTGACAAGCTGGAGAGGAAATATCTTGCCCATTTTATCAGCTTGAATAAAGAAGAGCTTGGCGGTTATTTCTAGTTGCTGTTTAAAATCATACCCTTGCATGTCAATCATGGACGTTTCACTTTTGGCGAGAATTTGGTGGTTTCTGGAGATATTAGGGACAAAGTGAGTTATGCGGTCTAGTAGAATATAAAATATCGATTAATTTTGAAATGTGTGCATGTCAAATTGTAACAATTGGCTGTTAGTTGGTTATTTATCAAACAAGCTTTATTTTTCGTCGTTTGACGATAATTTTCAACATCGGTCAAGAAAACAAAAATCGCTTGAAACTTAGTTTTAAGCAGTAATTTGCAAATATTGTAATGGTTCCATTTGGTAATTTATTTTCGACGCTTTTGATTCACATCACCGTTTTCAAAGTATTCTAAACGTGATGAGGTAGTTTTTGTACAGTTCATCGATGTGCGACTCGTATTGGGTAGTGTTTCACTGTCTAGACACCACAAAAAAATAAAATGAATAAATACAAAAATCGTCGAGTATGGAAATTATAATAGAAGGAACGGTGTTGTCTGAAGTGCAGTAGTGCTAATTACTTATTGTAACTCATTGCCATAAGCTATTCTTTGCGTTCTTAAGTTATTCCTTAGGGGGTATATAAACGACGGCGTCCAAGCTTTCACAGCATGAGTTGGCTTTATCATCAAACCATCTGACGTACAAGAAGAGAGGGGATGTCATGCTCTGCTTCAGCAATGTGAGCTATGAAACAGTCGTTGATATAATGTGCATTAAAAGAGGTAGGTGAGGTTCAGCTGTTGAAATTCAGAGTACAATTAGGTAAAACTCAAACTTTCTATTTTTGTATTATTATTTTTTTTATCAACAGGGAAGCAGAAAGTTACGAAAGGTGAGGGACGCCCCCATTCCTACCACCCTTGCACAATATAGACCATTATTTTTTTTACATTGGTAACTCTTGCAAATGCTTTGGGGTGAAGCTCATATCAGTATGGGTTTGCTTGTGAGAGAGACATACTTCTCAAAACCCCAGCTTTGGTGCTGTCTCGCCCCACAAGTAATTGTATTCCTTTTGATCGATAAAATGAATCTCTGATGGAACAGACTTACTAAATTAACCAAATAAAATTAAAGAAAGGAATACACTCTTTGGACGTCCTTGCCCCTACTTTCAAATAAGAAGCTGTGTATCCATTCTCCATCGTCCTTGTCCATTGTGATGGACAAGGCTATGGCTGTTGGACTATCCTTTTGGTAGTTCAAGAGATCAGATCTTCCTCCTTCATCAGGATCTATTTAGTACGATTAAATGAATGTGTTTTGCGAATGGGTTCAATGCGAATTTCTGATCTATACTTGTTTACGCGCTTCCGGCGATTTAATGTCTATTTATGAACCGTTGCCGCATAACATTATGGCATATGGTGCAATTTAAAAAGAAACAATATAACAACTCAGGGTAGACTTTTATTTGCAAGTGTGCGTATATGTGTGTGTGTTTTTTTAAACTAACCTTAAAATTTATTCGTCCCAGACCAAACCACCATAAACCTGACTATGAACTACCGATTCAGTGCAACATCACAGCAACAAAAGCTTAAATTTTGGTTTCGCAAAGATAATTAATTCTTTGCAACTACAGAAAGGTTCATAAATTTTTGATAACAACGATCCTGCTCGAAAATTAATTGTAGATAATATCCCTGGAAGACATTTCTTCTATACTCAAGTTTTGTATGCCAAATGCAAAGCCTTTGAAAAAAATATGAAACAGGACTTTTAAAGGTAAACTTTAGTGGTGATTCGGCCTTTTAATGGCTCACTTGTGCGCATGAGAAAGAAGAATTTCAAGTCTCCGTTTAAAGTCAATTATGATTAAGAGCATCTCTTCTCACAGAGCTGAAAAAATCATTATACGTTTGAATAGCGCTTATTCACCTCCCTTTTTCTCTCTTCCTTCTCGTGTTTGCGTGCAGCTTTAAGTTTAGCGAATATTTTCGTTATTATTATATAGTCTTGGGATTGGAAGCGAGCATAAACTGACAGAAAGGCTCTTTGGGATGGAATGTATCTCATCAATTATTCCACAATTTGCTTTGCGTTCTGCTTGCTATCTATTTAACAACCGAGGCCTCGTTTTCTTAAGAAGCGACAGAAATTCATTTAAAGACACGACAACTCTGGATGCCTACTGTTGGTAATTATACTAAAGGCGCCATTTGGCTATTACCAAAGTGTAACACGCACTGATGAATAAATCGGAGAGACGAATTTAAAATCGCAGAAAACTAAAAGTTAGCTAAGGCACTAAAAAATAAAAAAAATTTAAAAAATGGAAAATGTACCTTTCCTCTAAGGCAATCATCATTTGTTTGCTTTGCTCAATATGTGGTAACCAAGAAGTCACAAAAGCTTTCATTCAAATATTTGTCTATTATTACCTTTGTTTTGAAAATCATTACACCTGCGGAGAAAAACGCCAATGGTATAGCAAGTATTCTCAGGTGAAGGTTCGGTCAAGAACTCTTTTTCGGTAGAACAGACAATTGTTTTTTTGGAAATCCACGCAATCAGTGCTAAACTTAAAGAAACATTTGCCATGTGACCCACAATGGAAAAACAGTGTACTAAGGTTGAAACACGCATACGTTAAAATGACACACTAAACATCAGGCGGCGAGCAGCGTGTCTCACGGTGCGGCTGGCAAAGCTGATTATGCAATTCCTGAAGATAATGTGTTTATTGACTCGCACAGTGATAATTCATTTCACGTCTGTCAATAGCGCTCGTTGTGAGTTTGATGGCAGGTCGAAGAGGACACAGTTTTTTAAAAACTGGGAAAATCACAAGAGAAGGACCCAGTAATTCTTAAATTGATCGGTTTTTTTATAGGGTTGTTTTGTTGATGATAAGAAACCTGATAATCGTAGAATTTTGTCCACTTACCTCAGTCAGGCATTGTACGTGAATGATGATAATAACGTCAGTAACAACAACAACAACAAAAACAAACAAAAAAAGTAAAACTCAAATGTATTGCCTGCTACTTTTAGTCGTCTTTTTTTTATTTGCTGACATTATCATCATTACTATTATCATGTTAATGACATGTATTATCATTATTGATGTTATTAGTATTATCATCATGATTATTACTATCATTATTATTATCGCTATTATCATCATCATTTTTATTACTTTTTACAGGGTTGGTTGGTTTTACGATTTTGGGAAAAATCATAATTTGCTCGTGTTATTGGCATTTACCGTAAACATCAAATATCCAATTAAAAATGCATGGTGGTCTATATTGTTTTACTTGAGGAAAAACGTGTGGACAACTCATTGAAATTAACAGGAATGGGGTGCAAACGAGTGAGCTATTTCTTTATGAGTAACTGCCGCTGTTCAAACAATCCAACATGGTTTGTACACTTACGCAACCTTTGAAATATGGGGGAAATAACGAGCTCTTGAGATGGATGATCATACCATTCCAACTTGTTATCATTTTTTTCCATTTTAAGTTATGTGGGGAATGTATTTATGCAGTTCTCCCTCTCACCTTTGCTTTTCATTGGTGATTACTTTGTGTTGAAACAATTTTGCCACAAAAGTGGTCTTCAATAGACGATTTGTAGCTGTACTGAGAAATAAGAAATTTTTAAAGTATTTATTGTACCAGTTTCCTTGTCACTGTACCATGATATATCCCATTGCCTTAATATATCTGTTTCCATTATCTGGTCCATAACTAGCCACATTGCCACACGTGATTGATTTGCCAGGGTTGCCTCCTGTACCAAAACCGATTCTGGAATCAGTGCTTCCACAGTTAGATTGCTCGTTACCAATAATACCAATCCTTGCTTTCGAGTTTCTGGGATAGCCCTGTGAATTGAAACCCTCTTTGTTGCAGTTAAGCTGCAGGGATGCGTCTGCACCAATCAACGACTTCCATTTATCACGACCAAGCGAGATGGCACGATACTGCCCGTCAGCGATAAGTGAATAAAGGGAAGGTGCCTCCATGTGAATGACTATGAAATTGGTGTGACTTCCGATCCTCATACCAAGGCAGATCTTAGAGAAAGGTTTCTCCCAGTAAGTTGGTAGCTTAGTTTCTTGTGTGTCGAGCCCAGTTTTTCCTCCGGGAAGGTTAAAAGTATCCTTATTGGTCCACAGAACGGAATCATAGGAAAAAGTGTCCTAGGGCCATAGAATCCAGGAAAAACAAATGAACGGTAGTTAATATCACTTCAACTCAGAATACGGCTCACAACATATCCAAGTTGGTAAGTCTTTTATCAACTAACTAACATCCTTCGACTTTTGTAGAACTTAAAACAAGAAAAAGACGGGGAAATAAAATCAGTATTCCTCAAATAG